ATTATCCTACTATATATAATCCGCTAAGTATGTCTGTCTGTCTGTCTGTGTGTCTGTCTGTCACGAAATTCATAGCGCCCGACCCAGTGGCAGTGAGACTTCGGTTTCATGATATGTTATTGGGTATGGGACAGCAACATTATTGATGGGTGGCAGGAAGTGATATCAGCAGATAAGATCTGATAAGAGGCGTCAGAAGGGGAGAGTCAACAATTCCCTACGCCCTTCATAGCGACAGTGGGACGTTCGTTCCAAAGAGTTATGTACAGAGTGGGACAGAAACATTACTGGGGGTGACACAAAGTTATAACAGCTGGTAAGATAAGGGACTTCGGAATGGTAGGGTGACCAAATTCATAACGGCCACAGCAACAGTTAAAGAAACCTTGGTTCCGAGAACTGATATGGGTTGTGAAACGGGAACATTACTGGCGGATGACAGAAAGTGATAACAGCTGATAAGATTCGATATGAGGCTTCAGAAGGTGAGGGGCACCGTAAGCAGGCTACAGCAGCAGTAGGACCTTAGGTTTCGAGAAGTGATATAGGGTGTGGGACGGGAACATTATTGGCGGGTGACAGGAGGTGATAGCAAGTGATAGGAGGTGAAAGTGACAAATTAACATGGGAAAGCGCCACACCACTCACAACGACAATGATTGATATGACCCATGTATTACGATCTCAACGTTTAAAGCACAACTCATTCCCAAGCGCTTATCAGTAGCGACATTATGTACGACTAAGCTAGCTCTATTCCAAATGCATGGGGTTTGTTTACAGAGATGTTATGAACAGCAGCAATTGACTTAATCACTCTTACCACAATTATCTTCCATCAACAACCTTCAGTGAGGGCCATTTGAAGCGCTCTACTGCTGAATGCGGGAGTGCATTTCAGAGCAGGACGCTTCAAGAGCTGAGAATGCATGACAGTAGGATGTCAGCGGTTATTCTAACAGGCCGTTATTCTATTCTATGTTCCCGCGCAGGATATGAACGCACCAATCGGATCACTGACTGACGCCTTAGCTCCTTTTGTGACGCGGCGGGCGCTGCTGCTGCTTCTGCGGCTGACGGGAGGGCGCTGCTCAATTGCGTTGCTTTTCAGTTCTTGGGTGATGCAGAACAGTCCTTTCAACAGTGTGCCCGCGCCCGCCCCGCGAAGCCAAGCCATGTCGCTGAAGGAGGAGCGTTCGGCGACAGCTGGACGATCCGACTGGTATAGCAAAAGCTTATACTTGATCCACTAGTAATTATTCATTCGTTCAGGTTAACTGGACGGAGTATTTCCTCCTCGTAGCACCACCTGAGAGTCACAGCTATATTTTGGCGAATCCGTCAGTGGTGGTTCCTAGTATGGAATATATAGCACAGTTAGTTATTGACAATTAGCTTGAGTGAGGGCAATCAAGAAAAATATAGCCTGATGAATCTTTTACAGGATTAATCAACTTTTCAATGATGCCTCATCAAGAACGCTAACCAACTACGTGATTGTACAATATATACTGTCATGGATGA